CTTGGAAGTACAGAGTAATTGTACTAACAGACTAAGTGTAAGCCACAGAAAATCTCTCCTTTGTTTATTTTTTTTGGGGGGGATGCTGGCTCAGGCTGCCTTAAGGGCAGGTCTGGTCAGGCATGTGGAGCTGGAGATCAAACCTTGGTCTCCTGCGCCTGACTGGGGTTTGCCCAAGCAGGCGCTTAAACAACTCAGCTAACCCACAAGCCCCCAAAAGTTTTTAATGAATTTAATACAGGATCTATAGGATTTCACTATGTAGATCGGACTCTAGTGATTTTCCTGTTTTCAGCCTCCCAAGTGCTGGGATTACAGGCACACACCACCACACCCAGTCCCAATTGTCATCTGAGCGCACCCTGGGCGCGGGGTCAGCATGGCTGGCCAGGGTTTGAACCCTGGCCAATGAGCTCTGCCTAAGCAGGCACTTTAGTCTGCTGTGCTAATTAGCTTACCCAAAAAAGTCTCTCCTTTAAATGTGGGTGTTGGGAATTTTCCAAAAGGAAAGTGGCTAAACCAGACTTATGTCACCATCATTGTCAGGCTCAGTATTTGGCTTGATTTCTCTTCATAGCATTTTGTGATTCCCCGACATTATTTGTCTATGGTAGGTTTTCTTCCATTAGAATCCAACCTTTAAGGGGCTGAGGAGACAGCTTAGTAGAATAAGTGCTTGATGGGTAAACTCCAGGATCTGAGTTCAATCCCCGATTCCGCCAAAAAAAAAAAAAAAAAAAAAAACCACTCAAATCACAGATGTGCCCCACCACACCTGACTCTAACTCTCTTGTTAATAGTGGTCAATATATAGCTTATATCATTCATTGCATTTTTATTCCAGCATAATTTTATTTCTAATTTTTTCTGGATTTGTAATGTTTCATATCTCCTTATACATTTTCCCATGTTTTCCTAGTTGTTTTGTTTTTTCCTGCATCAAATTATTTGTACATACAGCATAGGAAGACCCGGGCCCAGGACAGACAGCAGCCCAGGAGTCATACCAGTCCTTCTGTCTTCATATTGGCAGACAGAGGTTTTTACTAAGGAGCTTTCACGTGGTAGGGACCTGCACACCCTGAGGAGCTGAGCCCACACTGGACCCAAAGTCGAGCTGCAGTCTTGGCCTTGGATGGTAGAGCCCGAGAACCCTTGGTGGTGTGGGCTTGGGCGTGCTTTCTGGCCTGGGTGAGTGATGTAGACGAGTCAATGGAGCTTGTTGCTGACACCCACACTGTGGGGTCTTGGACTTACTTTCTTGGGCATTAGAACAGCTGTCATAGCCTTGACATGAACACCTATGGCCTTACGTGTTTTGCTTGCATTTCTTTAGGTCTTTCTCGTACTTCTTGGCAAAGTTCACCTTCATGAGGAACCCAAGGTTACCTCCATAGAAGATTCATGTCTTTGTTTCAGGTTTCCTGATGCCATTTCTCTGCCATTTTGGGATTGGCTTTATCTGTGTGGTTCTTGGACACTCCTTTTAAAGTCATTATGGGCTGTTCTTCCATTCGCATTTAACTGAGGGTGATTTGATCTCCTTAGAGTCAAGTTAGTGAATTGTCTTTTAAAATCACTGTCCCCAGGCCCCTGGTCCTCAGTCTAGCACTCACAATTGGGCTGACTGCTCTGTAGCTATTTAGAGCATCACATTGCATCCAGTCACTGCCAGCTGGTGATTTGGTCTAAGTGTTTGCTTCTGGTTGCTTTGCTGTTTCTGTTCCTTCATTGTACCCCTGGGACAAAGCTTGCTTAAGTAAACAGTGGAAAATCTTTTTACAATTTCTTTCTGTTTTTCCTTTTTTTTTTTTTTTTTTTTTTTGACAAGGTCTACTAACTAATGTAGTTCAGGCTGGCCTCAAACTCACAGCAATCCTCCTGCTTCTGACTCCTGAGTGCCAGGATCATCTGCATGTACCATTTTTTTCCATGAGAGGAGACACTTTCCTACTCACGCCCTTCTTTAGCAGCTTCTGGTCCCCTTGACCCACAGAAGCTGGATTCCCAGCTGTCTCTGTGCTTCCAGCTGAAGCCCAGCTTGCTCCTTTATCATCTTCACTTTGTTCTAGGGCCACAGAGATAGATGCTAATGGTGCCTCTGAGCATTAATTAATTAATTATTTTATTTATTTATTGTGGCGCTGAGAATTGAACCAAGGGTTTTGCATATGCCAGGCAAGTGCACTACTACTGAACTACACCCCTTGTCCTAGACATAAATATTTTAAAAGTGTTTTTATGTTAATGATAAACATTTGGAGGAAAAAAAATGTTTGTTGAGAAAAAGAAATATAATGCGAATTCAGGAGTTCAGGGGATTTTTTTTTGCTAAAATGTCTTACCTCACAGTGTAATTTCTAGGAGAAAAATTAATTCTGTTGTTTTTTTTTTTCACAGAAGCATAATAGAATAAAGAAACATGTAGTTTATTTAGATTAAAAAAGTATCCAATTAAAAATATTAAAATGAATGACATGGAAATAAAATAAAAAATAAATAAATAAAATGAATGACATGGAATTGAGGGATTGTTTTGTTACATAGAGAGAACTAATTTGGGAACTGTCTCAGTTACTCTTCTCTTGTTGCTGGAACAAATACCTGACACTCAAAATGAAGGAAGGAGAGGTTTATTTAGCACACAGGTACTGGAGGTTTCAGTCCATACTCAGCTGGCTCCAAGGCAAAGAGCAGGTCTCTGCCCTTAAGTGGTACTCAGGCTCTCCACCCCGGGCTGGGTGCAGTAGTCACACCCATAATCCCAGCAGCACTCACAGGTATCATCCCAGTGGATCATGAGTTAATCACAAGCTCTAGAAGTCTGCACCATGACTGCATGAGGTTGTTTTGTTTTGGTTTTTTTTTTGTATTTAGAGAAGGGTCTACAGGGTGTTCAGGGTCTCAGTACTAGATCAGACTCATAGTGATCTGCCTCATAGTGACAGCCTCCCAAGAGCTGGGATTACAGGTGCATGCCACCACGCCCAGTCTTGATTGCCATTTCAGCACCCTTGGGGCTGGGCTAGCATGGAAGGCTCAGGGATCAAAACCTTGGCCCCCGCTCCTGCTTGCAGGCACTTTAATCCGCTGAGCTATTTGGCTGGCCCTGCATGAGATTTGTTTGTTTGTTTGTTTGTTTGTTTGTTTGTTTGTTTGTTTTTCAGAACCAGGGATTGAACTCAGGTCCTTGCGCTTGCCCGGGAAGTAGTTAGTCTACTGAGTCATGAGGTTTTGAGAGGACAACAAGACACAAACTATAACAGGAACAAAAACATAAAGGAGCTCATCTCTCTGGAAATTGATAAATATTGGCATTTCTGAGGGTAGTGTGGAGGATTTGGTTGAGCTTTGATTATGTGGCCTAGCAATAATTCATGTGTGTGTATATGTGTGTGTGTGTACTGGTGATTGAATCCAGAACCTCTGCACTCGCTACACCACCAGCTTACAAGCTTATTTATTTATTTATTTATTTATTTATTTATTTATTTATTTATTTATTTAGAAACAGTATTTCCTTGAGGTTCAGACCAGCCTTGAACTCACCATGTGGCCAAGACCGGCCTCAAGTTCACAGTGATTCTCCTGCCTCAGCCTCCTGAGTGCTGGGATTATAGGAATGCACCACCACCCTTGACTCCCTTTTTATTTTTTATTTTGAGATAATCTTATTAAGCCAGTAAGTTGTCCAGGCTGAGGTCAAACCTTCTAAATCCTTCCTCAGCTTTTCAGCCATGGATTATAGCTGTGTACCACCACACCCACTTTTTAAAATATGTTCTTTATTAGTATGCTTTAATTTTAAAATACATTGGATTTCAATGTGCTACTTTCACGTATACATGTAACATACTTTTGCCATATTCATCTTCTCTTTTATTCTGCCTAAGAGCAACTTAATATATGATCTATGGGCTGAGAGGATAGCTTAGTGGTAGAGTTATATTCCAAGCACCACAGGAGGAAAAAAATAAAAGAAGAAAAAAAGATAAGAAAAATGGCACAAAGAAAGACCACAGTGGGAGACAATATCACATAATTCAAGATGGTAGAACACTCACAGGCTGTGACAATTATAATACTACGCTAACTCAATGACTAAAGATTACTGTAGTGTTTGCCAGCCCAGCCCTTATTGGATGAGAAATTAGTTCTCACAGTTCTGAAGACTGGAAAGTCCAAATTAAGTCAAACCAACAAATCTGGTGTCCTGTAAGGGCTCAATTTCTAATTGACAGGCAGCACTGGCTTGCTTCATCCTCACATGGCAGAAGGGCAGGCTAGCTCTGGGAGGTCCCTCCTAGGAGGGCACTGACCCCAATCACAGGGGCTCTGTCCTCATGGCATGATCACTTCCCAAAGGCCCCACTCCCTAATATCACCACCTTATGGGTTAGGATTTCAACATAGGAATTTTGGGGGAAATGTCAACACTCACACTGTAGTGCCACCTAACCACTAGCATGTGATTGATGCTCACTGAAGGAGACTGGGAAGGGAGAGTGATGACCAAGAGTGACAAGGTTGTCACCAGAGCTTAACATCGGCTTCAGTAGGCTGGGGTTTCCCTCTACAGCTACCTTGAACATACCCATCTCATTTGTTAGGATTCTCCACTTGACACAGATAACCTTTTGTTGGAGGGACTGTTCTGCACATCTATGAGAGTTAGCAGCACCCTTGGCTTCTTACAAGATGCCAGGAGCACACACATGTGAGGACTAAAATGTCCAGGGGACATGGCTAAATTGCACATGGGGATATTGTGTTAAATCCACCTGAATGATTTCTCTTTCAATCACCAGATTCTGGGGGGAGCAAAGAAAGGAAATTTTTGGTCTAGACAGAGCGGAATTATTTTTTTATGTTAAGAGAACACAAATTAGAATTTAATTCCAATTATCACTTCATAGACATTTATTTATACTCATCTGCATCCATTATTCTAACAAGATATTAGGACAGCTTGTAAATATTCATGCCTACATTCAGGACAGAAAGTGAGCAGTAGAGCTGGATTTACAGGGACTGGCTGAGCCCTATCATGGGTGAGTTCTGTACTTTCATTGGGCAGGAGGCTGTGTGGTCTCAGACTTCAGGCGGCTAGACAAGTCCCTCAGCTCTATGACCAGGTAGCCGAGGAGAACACGTACATCCTGCATGTGTTTGAGAAGAATGCCCATCTGGTGATACAGGTGGGGGTCTGGAGGGGAAAACACTGGGGGCTCAGCAGTTGGGGTGGCTAGCGGAGGCACAGGCCTGGGGGACTCTGTAGAACTCGTTTCCTGAGCAGCTGATTTCTGAGAAGCTGGATTCAAGGTGGGAGGTGCAGAAGAGCTTGAGGGACCTGGATTGTAGCAAGAGACACACATGAGAGTAAAGCTGGACTCTGACCCTAGTCTCATGTCAATCTTTCTTGTTCTCCAATGTGGCTGTGGGGCCCAAAGGACTCCAGTGTCTCTCCTAATCCAAGTTTCAAGCTGAAGCTTGGCTACCTGTACTCTAGTGATTAGCCTCATCATTGTATAACTGTGACTATTATTAACCCATCAACCAATTCTCTTTTAAGACAGAATCTAACTGGTCATTGGTCAGTCCTTCATTGTATATGATGTTAGTCTAATTCCTCATTCTTGTGCCAGCCTTCAGTGTTTTAAGGATGTCCACGTCAGCCTCTGAGCTACCTTCTCTTCAGGACAAGTGTCTCCAGGCCCCTCCATTACTTTCCTGACATGGCTTCAGTCTTCATCACCCTGGACAATTCCTGTAGGTGTATTTCTTTTCTTTTCTTTTTGTGGAACTAGGGATTGAACTCAGGCCCTTACGCTTGCCAGGAAAGCATTTATTCCACTGAGCCGTCTCCCCAGCCTCCTGTAGGTGTATTTCATGTCACATAAAACTTTTCTGTCTCTGTCTGTCTCTGTCTCTGTCTCTCTCTGTCTCTCTCTGTCTCTCTCTCTCTCTCTATATATATATATATCTCATCTAAGCCT